CCTAACTTTATTGAAAAATTCAAGGCCCTCATAAAAACAAGCTAGCTAGGCCTCTACTTTTAACTCTTTATACATATGATTGGTTCATTAGAAAAGATTCAATTTTTGCTTATTCATGGTAAGATTTAGGTTAATAAATCCTTTTAATCTTATACTTTCATTGAAGTAACGATATAGTGCTTTAAACAGCTTTAATCTCTATCGGAATTTCTTTTCTTGATAAGTTTCGTGTTTATACATTACGAAAAGTCAAAATATCAGTAAGAGAGAGAAAGGAAATTTTTTTTTTATAATATAATATGTTGGGATAGGGATGGAACTCACAATCTCTCAATTAAAAATATATGTCAATTACCAATGAGCTATGCTTGTTTTAACAAGAGAAAGAGAAACTAATTTACAGTGGTTTGACCGTAAGGTGGAATCTATTATATAAGGAGAGTGTAGAAGAAGTAGAGGGGTATTTTTCCTCTCCTCTTTGAAGGGAACTTAGAAAAATATTCCCTATGACTAAATTTGACTGAGCTGTCACTCAATCTTAATGTCACGTGGGAAACTTGAATAATACTTTTTCCGGAATTCCAACTCAGCTAAAATGACCTTCCAGCTAGGATATGTCTTGAGTCATCTTAACAATTGCAATGGTTGGATTTTATTAATTGTGAAACCTTGTTACTTTTATTTATATCACAATTACTAAATGTTATGTATGAGATAACTACCATATATTTGGAGGGTAACATAGGTATATTTTTAATCTTTATGTTGGCAAAAGGGAAGGTTGATGTGTGACTCGAGCCGAGGTGATCACACGTCGTCAGGCTGTCGATGTGAAGTTTGATGTGTAGAATGCTGGCACCTGCAACAGAATCGTGCACTAATGTGGTGCTTGACCACATACAGTCATAAGCTTAAGTTAGAACTTAGTTTGAGCTGGTGTCGAACTGAGTTTAATTTTAATGTAAGAGAATGCGTACCTAAAGAAAGTGAGACTGCACCTTATATAAGAGGAGCACGGGGAAGTGTGATTCTACCACTGCGGCACCTGTACATGATCTTTAGTTACAATTTTTTCTTAGACAATAAGAAGATCCTTTAACAACAGAGTCGTCGTTCTGTCGAATGTCAATGATTTTATGTCAATCCAAAATCTGCTCGAGGTTGGAGTCGATCTGAGCGTCACTTCCATGGACGTAGATCATTTTCCCTCCTCGCCTTTTGAGTTTCCGAGTTGAGGTTTGGACATGTGTTCTAGTGGGGAGGGCCACATATATTGAGCCTAATTTTACATCTGACAAGAAATGTGGTGGAATGCAGGTAGTTGAATTATGAAATCAATCAAATTTGTTCTAAATTGAAACTATAATTTTGATTATCAAGAAGGCGCTTTTGTCTAATTTTTGAAAACTTATCGACCTAAAATGATGAATTAAATTGGTTCTATTTGTTTGTGTTTGATCAAGAGAGTGAGATAATCGTCGATTACAAAAGTATTTTTGTTATGATGGACTAATATCAAATAACATTAGCGAAACATATAGTAGGTGAATAATTAATCATACCTCCTTGAGAACCATCAACAGTTATGATTTGCATCCATAGTCTCACTAATCCTTTGACAACGTTGAATCTCAAAGTGTACACTATAAATGTTTTGCGACCAACTATACCAATTTGGATCATTTAGTGAGTTCCACAGGTTTCCACCAAATTCACTACTATAACCATCATCGTCTAGCTTACCTATAGAGATAAGATTCATTATGATATTGGGTACATCGCATCTCACAGAACTACCTCAATCTCACTTTCAGTATTTAAAATCACATTTCCAATTCCTTTTGTTTTAGAAAGTCTTCCCATTATCCATCCTTAATTGGCCATGATTATATACAATGACGAATGTGAAAAACCTGACCTGAGATACGTGTATTGAAGCTACACTGTCAATTACCCATACTCTGATGACTGGTGTCTTAATTTTGTTTTACTCTTAACATAAACAAGGGTATCATAAAAAACTATAGGTTTGCATTTGCCTCAAGCTTTTTTAGATTCTCTTTCAACTTTTTACCATTTCTCTTGATGTGGCCCTTCTTATATTAGTACTAAAAACATTTGATGTCTCTATTCACATAAATCCTACTATTTCTCTGCTATCTATCATTAGACTCCACATTTTATTTACCTTTTTTTTTTTTTTGAAAATATAGCCTATATGGAGCCTGAATTAGAAATGGATTATTTTCCACCTTCCTTGCAAATTTCTAAAGTAATTGCCACATCACAAATTTCATACTTTTGTCTCCTAACAAATTAGACACGTGTGTCTTCATCATTTTCCAACTTTCAGCTAAAGAAGCAAGTAATAAAATATTATTTACGTCATCACTACAAGTAATCTTAACGGAAGTTAACCGGTTGATTAAATTAATAACTTAATTAATATAAGAATTCATAGAAGCATTCACATCCAAATTTTAAAGAATATTCTAACTTGACATACTTTATTACTAGCATATAGGATTATTCATACCTATTTGTCATACATTCATCAAATTTACCGTAGTTGTCTCATTTGCCACGAGACTAGCCACATTCATTCATAAACAAACAAAGTCTGATAATAGACAACTATATGTTCATCAATTGCTTCCTAATCTTCGTCACTGATCCCTAGTTAGTTGTTCCTTCAAAGCTTTATGCATCTTTTTGCATGTTAAGAGTTTTTATGAATCTTTTTGTATGTTAAGTAATCCTTAAGATGCATCTTACAATATCCAAAATTAGCTCCTATTGAACCTGGTAATTCCTTCAAAACTTGACTCATGACTCTGGAACTAAACACTCTGATCCTGTTAGAGTATATATATTAGTATATTTGTCATATATCTAGGATTAGGCAAATCTTGTATATTTGTCTATATATATAGACTTTAGTAATAAGAATAATTTAATTTAGTTCTCTCAAACCTTAGTTTCTACATAGTATCAGAGCTTTAGGTTTCCTCTAAAATTTTTGTGCCCATTAGAGTTTTGTACCCATTAGGGTTTGAAGTTTGGAACACTTTTTTGTAAGTGTTCATTGTACCCAACCTATTCCAGTAATGCTGCCGCCGCTGCTGCTGCTCGATTCTACCGTTGTTGCTCGATTTTGCTGCCACCGCCACCGTCGCTCGCTTCCACCGCCGATGACGCTGCCCTATTCATGGGTTTCCATTTGCTATTTGTGGGTTTGTTCGTGATTTCTAAATCGGGGTGTCTGTCTCACTGTCGTTCACACTTCCGTCGCCGTCGGTTGGTGCCTGTTGCCGTTTGACGTGCTGCCTGATTACGCTTGTTTACATGCGTAAAAAGAAGGTTTTAGATGCTGTTTTTACTATGTTTCAGCTTTGTTTCGGACTTTTTCTCGATCGTTTGAGTTCCAATTCATGCAAAATTCATATACTATGGTTTGTGGATGGCTTATGTTGTATTTATGACATTTTAGSACCATTTGGGAGTGCAAATTAATCAAAAGAAGCRAAAAGACGGAAAAACTTACCATGGAGGCGCCAGGCGCCTGGGAAGCCTGCAGAAAACAGTGTTTCTTCCAACTTTGCCCTTAATGAAACGCGTCTTCCAATGCGTTTTGGTGGTTCCAACCGATGCATACGTGTAGAAGAAGTGTTCCACTATCAGTTTGAGCACGATTTGGTCAGTCAAAAGAGTTGGAAATGGGTGATTCACCACCGTTTTAGGACCTACCTAACCAATTCTGCACAGCTATAAATTCCAGCAACTTCTCCACCAAATNTTTTTTACAAGGTTTTAGACGTTAACATTGATAGAAATGTCGAATGAAAATGTTGATAGAATAATCAATAAAACATTGACGTAGATATATATATATATATATTTTTTTTGGAAGTCATAAAAATAAATACATTTTGAAAATAATTGTGAAAGTCTGTTGATATTTTCTCTATTTCATTGATTTTTTACTATATAAGGAAAATGATGCCTTTATCTGTTTTTGTCAATTTCGAACTTGTGAAGATATAAACATACGTTCGTGTCTATAGGAATTTAATAGCTTGATTTTTGAAAATCTAAAGTCATGCCCAACTTACATTAGTTTGGAATTAACGTTGAGATTTTTTTTTTTTAATTTTTTATCTTACTTTAGTTCAGCAATTGCAAAGTGGTTTAAATCTCATATTTTTGTCCTAATTCCTATTGCGAATAATTAGAGTGGGTGTAAAAAGTATTACAAAAATGTCGGATTTTATTTCAACATGTTTCTATTTAACTATTTTAGTTGGTCAATATCAAAATTAGTTGACAATAAAAATATATCGACAACTATTATTTATCTTTATCGGCTACGTACTGTCATGCTCATAAAAGTATATTCAACAACTATTATTTATTTTTTGTTTTTCATTTTACTTCAAATAAGATTYAGTGATATAATATATAAAAAGATGTATATGTATTAAAAGGATTAAAAATATATTTTAGGTTTTTCTTTATTTTTTTAAGAAAGAAAACAAACAGAACAAGCTAAGGGGTTTCAACAAGAGAATGTTGAAGCATACGTGCCTCTTCTTCCCAAACTGCTTTGAGAAACCCATGATTTCTTCAATATAATCGACACCCATAGGGAACGCTGTCTCTCGCCAACTCATGAGCCAGCGAGTTGAAATGAAAATTAAATCAATTTTAGAAGAGTCGTGAAAGCACTAAGATAAAAATGAAATGAGAATATATGAAATGCAAGAATAAGATCTACAAACAAGAAATGTTATTATTTATTTTTTCAAAAAAAAAAATATTGGTGATAAGGAATCAGTAGATGCACCCAGACATCCTAGCTAGGTTAGCATAACCTTAGCACCCTCATCATCTACCTCATCCCAATAATATTCATCAAATAAAGATAAGGTTCAATGTATAATGCATTTACAGTTATCATTTAAACTAAAAAATTAAAAAATTAAAAATTGAGAAGACTCTATCTACGCCAAGTTGAATGTGATGCCAAAGTCTTCATAGCGACTGCAAAATCATGAATTCATGAAAATTATAGATAAAAAGTATAAAAACATGAAAAATTATGAATAAATATGAGTAGGGATTGATGCTTATGCATACTTCAAGTATTTTCATGATTCTTTTATACTCCTCTTCATCGAATGACTCCATTTGTGTATTTGTACTGTATGAAAAACAATTTAATATCGTTTAGGATCATTATTAATGAAAAATAAATCTACATCTGTTATATAAATCATAAAGATAAATATACTAACTGATGGCTTAAACAATTCACATCTAAATTAAAATCTTACCGTGTATCAGAACCTTCTGCACTGTCCACTTTTTGATCACATAACTCCACTTGTGCTGGGCTACAAAATTAAAATATTGTTTATAGAATCATTTTACAAAAAATATACATAAAAAAACATGATTATCATTCAAAATTATAGTTGTACCATGAATTAGCAGGTTGCATATTATTGGGATTTTGGTCACAAAATTGTAATTGTGCCGTTGGACTGCAGAATTAAAATATTGTTTATAGTCATTCTTAAAAAAAAAAGTTAATTCGCATATGAAATATTATTCACAATGAAACTAATATCGCTATTTTAAAACATTCAATATCAAAATTAAAATGTTACCATGGATTGGTAGGTTCCAYGTCGTAGAGATTTTGATCCAAAAATATTGGCCTGCAAAATTAAAATTTTGTTTTTATAGTAATTATTGAATAAATTAAATTCAAATCAACAGTACTCTTCTACTTTTAAAAAAAAAATCTAATTAAACGTCTTCCTATCGTTTATTATCAAAATTAAAATCTTACCAATTATCAATGTTGTCGACATTTTCGTACAATCCACCTTCTGTCAGAAACTGCATGCTTTCAGAGTCCTGATTAAAAGATTCTATTTGCATTGTTGGGCTACGAACAAAAAAACATAATTACAATAATTATTAAATGATAATAAATTTACATGTGCAATATTATATATGTAAAAAGATTAAGTGAAACCTTAATACCCATTAATTATCAAAATTAGAATCTTACCGAGTATGGATGATTTCCAAATTATTGTTGCAGAGTTCTTCTTGAAATTCCTTGAGATTTAGACGAGAGAATCCCATTTGTGTAGTTGGACTATAAAAGAAATAATTATAAAATAACATATTAATATCATTCATTTTACAAAAATAAATAAATAAATCTTACTTTATTAAAATGTAARGGATTAAATTAAAAAAACAGATTACAGCTCATGAAAACATAAAACAAATATATAAATATATATATACAAATATAATAATCATCTAACCCGGATATAAAAATATTTATTATAATAATTAAGAAATCTTACCATGTATCAGTAGGTCTAATGTCATTTGAAAGTTGAAGATCCTTGTGAATTTTTCTACGTTTGGAATTTGGTTGATCTTCAATGRGAGCTTCTTCTTGATCACCCTCAACATTTTTCATCTTTTTTCGGATTTTACAAAGTACGTAGGAATCTTTTATATCGATTGTGTTGGTTGATGGTAGAATGGAGGGATCGAGAGAATACTCGTACATAATCCAGGAAAATTGACTGCAGTCTTGACCGTTCTCATAATGAAAACGTTTCATAGTACCCAACAGGGTCTTTGGAGTGGTGGACGAAAATATTTTAGTAGGTGCTGTTTCAGCACTCCAAGTACCAGAATTGGGGGCACTAACTTTTCTAATGATGCGAGTACGTTTCCTTTTCAGCTTGGTGAAAACATAGAGGTCTTCCCCATCAACACCTCCTAAATTTTGCCATATCTCACCGGGTTCTTGACAATAAACATCAATCACCGGCAACTGAAGCGGAGTCTTGAACTTTCCAACAATCTTGTGAAAAAGATAGTAGCCCAAGATATCCTGATTCTTGGGATTTAATTTGTAACCACTTGGAAGCTTTATGGTCGCCATTTTTAGAACGAAACTAAATTGAAAAAAAAGGAACAAAATTAGAATTATAATCATTATTTAAAAACCGTTTCTTTAAAATTTGGTTAAGAGGCAGATATTTGAAAGTAAAAAAGCAAATAAATAAAAATAAAAACAAAATGGAAAAAAACAAACAAATATAAAACTCAAAAAGGAGATCAACGAATACAATTTGTTTTTCCTTCTTTCTACTTGCTGATGAACGAAAAAAATTTGGGAAAAAAAATCACTCATCTTGAAAGAATCCATAGATCTTCTTCTGGTTTTAAAAAATTTCACTCATTTTCTGATTTTTTTTTCTTGTTTACCGATGGGAAAGAGAAGCAAAAAAAGGATATAAGAATCAAAGTAAAAATGGGAAAAAAATGAATGAAAAGAAATGCTCACTCTGAAAGTCCGTTGCTTATAATGGAAAATAAAAATGGAAGAGAAAACGAGATTCTTTCTCACGGTAAAGGTAATTGAATTTTGAAATTATGATTTAAATTTTAAATGGAACATTCCAACATGATCTAATAAAATAAAGAGATAGGGCAAACTCGGGTGGGAAAGAGACACGTAAGAAACACGTTCGGGTATTAATTTTTTTCTCGATATGATTTCCATCCTTAGTTTTACCCTGATTTTTCATAACTTTTAAAACTTCAATTATGGTCTATTTGAAAAAAGAAAGAAAAAAAAACTTTAATTATGGTCATCAGGAGTGGCAGCTAGAGATAATATGGGTCTAAGGCCAATTTTTTTTATTGATGGCCAAAAATTAATTTTACATATAAATATTTTATTTTTTTAATTTAAAATTTTAGAAAATAAGAAAAAAAATAAGCAATTATCCGATGAAGTTCTATTTTTATTAAAACAAAAAAAAGAAACAAATGACCTGTTTGATAATAAGAAATAGATATGTTTGGTGACCCATTCTATTTTTTATTTATAAAATTTGAAAAACGTTTTTAAAATTTAGGTCAAAATAGTTCTTCCTTAAACAAAGATTATAATTATAATTATAATGTTTGTTGAAGGAAGAACTATTTCTTTAAAATTCGGTTAAGAAGCATATATTTAAAGTAAAATGCAAATAAAGAGATGAAATAGAATAAAGAAATAGAATAAAAAGATTTTTTTTGAGATGTGGATGCGATCACCGATATTGAGGAGAGAGAGAAAAAAGAGAGATAAAGAGATGAAAGAAAGAAATAAATACAATAAATATATATATATATATATTTTTTTTTTGCGATGTGCGATCGTGGATATTGGAGAGAGAGAGAAAAGAGAGATGAAAGAAATAAAGAAATACAATAATATTACTTTTCTTACCGATGTACGGAAAAAATTTTACAGAAAAAATTTTCACATTTTGAGAGAAATCGATCGATCTCCTTCTATCGTTTTAAAAATTTTCAATCATGGGAAAGAGAAGCAAAAAAGAAACCTAGAAGAAAGAAAATAACAATGGAAGAAAAAGACGAAAGAAACACATGCTTACCCTCTAAAAATGCGATGCTACTTAGAATGGAAAATAAAAAAATGAAAGAGAATGCCAAATAAAATTCTTCTTCACAATTGGAAGAATGTAGTTGGATATATATATATATATGAATGACATTTTAAATTTTGAAATCACATCTAAATTTTAAACCTAAAACCTAATTTGATATAATTAGACAGAGATTGAACCAATCAAATGGATAATTTCACGTTTTGAAATTTGAAATTATGATTTAAATTTTAAATGCAACACCCAACTTTGACCTAATAAGGTAAAGAGATACTAGATGAACAAACTCGGGTAGGGGAAAAGAACTGGTAAGAAACACGTTCGGGTATTGATTTTTTTCTTGGTACATTTTTCATCCTTAGTTTTGCCTTGATTTTTTCCCTTTAAATTCATAACTTTTAAAAACTTCAATTATGGTCCTTAGGGCAAAAAATAGTACGGGGGTCTAAGGTCAATTTTGTTTATAGAGCCAAAAATTAATTAACATATATAAATTTTATTTGTTAAATTTAAAATTTTAGAAAATAAGAAATAAAAAATAATTATCCATATATTTTTGCTTTCTTTTTCAATTGAGGAAAAAATAACAAAATGAAGAACAATTAACATATGAAGTTCTATTTTTATTATTAAAGAAAATAAGAAAATAAACTAATGATCCATTGATAATGTTTATTATTAAAGAAAATAACAAAATAAACTAAGGTGGTTCCACATTGGATAGTAGCCAGCTTGTCTTGACTGCTTGCATGCGCTTTCTGACTGTAACCGAAGTAAGACTACAAGAGTTGAGAAAAAAGCTCCGGCCATCTGTGCTAGCTGTAATTGGAGAAAGAACGAAGAAGGGTTGGGTTTGGAAGGATTCCAAAGGGCTAGCTTCCAAGCTTTACAGTTTCAAGCATGATCCTTGATCACCTGCAGAGGGGAAAAAAACAGCTCTAGGAGCCGATGTAGGACCCTGTACCTCTAATTTGGATGACTTTCTTAATGGAATAGGAGCTGATTCAAAAACAGAATCGCTCCCGGACCTTCAAGAACAAGTAATTCTCTCCTTCATTGGTAATTTGGTATCACCAAATATTTGTTTACCAATTGTTAATTGATGCTTCCTTCGTTCTGAAGGAGGTCAATGATATGGCAGAAAGGATGTATCTCCTTCCCTAGGCTTCAATAAATAATTTGGTGTTGAACTTTTGATTGTTAGTGATTACCCTTGTTGGTAATGCAACCTGCACTTGAGSMGAGTCATCCTTTGTAATTTTAGAATTTGGATCCTGTACAAGAACATTTGTAAGATATTTAGAGATTTGATTATTTATCATTGTCATGCTATTTATTTCATACAAAGGACTTGTCAAGTTAAAATACTATCTATTAATCTCTGTGTACTATTCTCCATTTATTTGGAGGTTATCAGCCAATTGATTAATTATCTACACCCATCATGTGATATGCTTTACTTTTCTACGGATTATAGGTGCATTTTACACTTTAAAAGGCCTTTTTAAGTTTTTATTCTTCAATCCAAAATATTGACTAGAAAATCATTTTAATGAATGGCGTTCAGTTCAAATAATCCCAGTGTGATTTCCAATTGCAATGCTCATTAAATGGTACTTGATTTTATGGTTTTCCCCTTGTTTAAGTTACTTACAATCATATGTGACTTTCGTGCAGGTAGTATGGATGAAGGTTGAGTTGTGCAGGTTGCTGGAGGAGAAAAGAGCTGCAATTCTAAGGTTATTACTAAATTTATGAGACTTAGATTTTCTTCATCTTTGAGAATTTATATTGSTTACTGTGTGATTTGCGGAACTAGCCTTCATGTAATTGTGTCAAGAAGGTGGGTTACTGAAGCTTCTCTTTCTTTTTGCTGTTCTTTTCCAGAGCTGAGGAGCTAGAAACAGCACTTATGGAACTGGTCACACAAGATAATAGGCGACTATTAAGTGCCAGGGTATAAATCTCTTATTTGTGAGGAAAGATTCCCAATGCTTGCTGGTACCATGATTGCATGTTTGTAAATTATAATTCAAGATGCATGTGCCAATTCTTGTAAAACTGAAAAAGAAAAACCGAGTCTATTTTGTGCCTAAATTCTTAAGAAGCTGTTCTTGCTTGCTGCACGAATTTTTTGACATCACAAAATATTACATAAAAGTTCTCACTTAAATGTTGCATCTCTCTTGATCGTGTACTTCAATAATTATTGCATTCTTCCGCACTTGCTCTTTTGTCTCCATTTTTGGGATGAGATTATTTCTTCATTCAAATGGTCGATGGTCTTACCTCTTGATTTGTGAAGAGTCTCCTCTCCTATACACTTGCGGGGCCACCTCTTCACAAAGGAAAATGTGCTCCTCTGGATGCAGATCATTAGAGCTTTCTTTTGGGCGACTTGAAATGAAAGRAACTTTTTGATAATATTATCTTCCATACTATATCTTAGTGTTAATTGTCACCTCTATTTCGTTCCTATAGTTTTGTTTCATTATTGACCAATCGGAGAAGTTTCATGTAAGGGCTCTCTCCCCCTCCTTTTGTAAATTCCATACCTCAATRAAATTGTTTCTTATCAAAATAATACCAATAATAATCGCCACATTCTTCATTACTGCTACCAAAAAAAAAAGTTTCCTCCTGCACCCATGTTTCACAGAGAAGCACCCTTTCATCTTTTGACTTATAAGCTTTTAGATACCTAAGTGAAGGCTCAGTTYATATATAACTACGCAATGTAAATTTAATATAATTATGAATAGTGGACTTGCTTCTAAAATTCCTCGTTGGGTTTCTAGTCTATACTTAAGACGTTGCTTATTTTCTCCAGGTTGAACAACCGGAGCTAGAGGTAGCGGAGTTAYGGAGAACTCTAGCAGAGAAGAAAGAACAAGAAGTTGCAATGCTTCAGGTGAGCATCAGTTGAATTACTTTTCTAAACAATAGATATTGATAATTTTATATTGTAGTTATTGATGCGTGTTGAGCAAGAGCAAAAAGTAACCGAGGAAGCTAGATCAAATGCAGAGCAAGATGTAGCTGCTCAGAAATATGCTGTTCATATGCTGCAGGTTTGGTTTTTATTTGGATTTTTTGGTAGTCTGATTCTACTGTGCTGTTGATTTAGATGTTGATAATATAGAGCAGAATTCAATTGTTTTTGTAGCCTAGATAGCTCGAATTTATTGAAAGGATGAAGTGCATTTTATTGGTTTGTACTTGATTTATATCTGTAGATACAAGATAGGAACATATACTAGCCTGTATAAATTCTGAAGTTCTTCCTATCCTCACCCTCCCTAATTATGTTAATATATTTTTTCTTTTTGAAAGAAAATTGTGATTATCATGTTCTTTTCAATCCAATTACAAGATAAATATGAGAAAGCTATGGCTTCACTTGCTGAGATGCAGAAGAGGGCGGTGATGGCAGAATCCATGTTGGAGGCTACATTACAGTATGAATCTGGCCAAGTTAAAGCAACAACATCTCCTGGGTATAAAAGATATTTAAAAGAACATTTGATGTTCTATGCATTAGTTTGATTATTAAAACTTTAGATCTTGTATTTGTTTATGCTATGAATACAAGGGGATGTAAAGAGCATGCAAAATCTTGCATTACAGAATCTTCATCAGTTTTCCTAGAGATATTTTTTTCTTTCTTGACTGTGTACTAAGAATTTATGTGCTAGAAATTATTCATCTGCGTTATTGATATTAAACTTTCTAGACGAATTTCATTTTTATGAGGGTTGCCCGCTCTGTAGGTCACGTAATCAAGGACCTGCACAGGAAAATCAAAGAAGGATAGGATTGCTGCCATTTGCTCTAGGAGGCTGGCGAGATAGAAACAAGGTTTGTTTTCGGTATTAACCATTTTCCAGGAGAAACTGACCGTGGTACCTATTCCCTCCATTCTCATTATCAATTTTTCTTTATAAATAATTCTTCGATGTTGTTGGACCATCTGACTTCGTTGATAATAAATGAGAGTAGTATCCACACTATTGAGATATAGGAAGTGAAGATGAAAACTAAAACTACCAACMAAGTGAGAATTACACGACACCCAAAAGCGATAATAATGAACTAACAAATTGTTCGGGTTTTTCTGCTACTTCTATTTTCAAATTATTGAACCGTTTAGAATTACTAATTTTCTCTTGAAATATGCTTCTACCCATGTCTCTCARAAGGCAGATTGTGCTACACTAATCGAGGCCACTCAAATCTTATGCTTCTTGTTGATTTCAAATCATTCTCCTCAAATTATGAAACACACTGTACTTGCAGGCTAGATCGGCCGTTGTAGAAGAACCCTCTGAACAGAAGATGGTGAACGATGAAAGCAAAACCGATCCTGTTACTGAACAGAAGTAATTAAAGAACCAATATAATCCGATAAGGAAGTAAAGGTTAGTATTTCAGTGCCATGAAACTCATCGTATTATGCACGTACAATTCTAGTAACAGAACATCCATTTGTTTCATCATCAAAGAACATTTCTTTTTTCCACTTTTTCACTTTTCCATCTTTTTCCTTCTGCTAAGTGTTGTTAAAATATGTCCAAGTATATACTTGGATCGAAAGAAATTAGTATTAGCCGTTTATCTTGCACAATTGGCTCATAATGAACGTGTGTGCCACCTTCACAGTAGGGAAACCATGACAAACCAACCTTTCATTAAACATGAAAGAAGATGCAAGGACCTGCAAACAAATCAGCCCCTCAAAAAG